TGGGTTGCCTAGAATAGCTAAACAATCTTTAACTGAAAGTAAACATTTTCTGCAGGTATCAAATTCATTTACTAAAATTTGAAGCAGGTAAATTTCATTGTTATGTTCATATGTTCATTAACAACAAATAGCATAAAATACTGGGGAAATATTTTGAGAAAGAATAGTGTAACATTTTAATGCCATTAAAATATTTATAATTCACAAATATTGCCTAGTGTTATGAATAATTTGGTACCATAAAACCAAATAAGATGTTTTATGAATATTTTATATTAGATTTTTGTATATAATGCATTATATGTAAATAACTCAGCGAAGAATCTCTAATAACTAATGCTGTGTATGTTAATAATTGCATATTTTGCAAATATATTCAACTAAATAGAAAAAGTAGATCTTCAAGAAAATTATGGCCATAATATTCAGATCTTTGCATGTGCTAGATATTATTGAACACAGACAATTAAAGTAAGATAAGTGCTATAAGTGAAGCAGATTTAGTTGTTAAATGAATCATTTTAAAAATAAGATTCTCTGAAATACCCTTAATAGCTAACATTTATTGAGCACAGGTACTGGTCTAAATAATTTACATGCATTGTTTTATTCAGTCCTCACAACTATAGGAGGACATCATTTTCTGTCTCTTACATAGAAGAGGCTTAGTAACTTGTGAGGCATTACAATGAAGGAAGTGATGAAACAGTTGATATCACAAAACTTTAGGAAAATATTCACTTCATATTTTGCAAAACAAAGGAATAAAAAGAAAGTACATAAAGCCCTCTTGTGGAGTTCGGGGTCCTTGGGTTCACTCTGGGAAAGGTTCCCTTTCAGAGGCACACAGTAAGATTCTCCACAAGAGAGAGACTCAGTTTTATTTAAAGAGAAAGTTTATTAGAAAGAGACAGAAGAGGAAAAGACTCTTGAATAGGCACAAGCTGGCAGAAAGAGCTGCCCCTCATTTGGGGGTAGCAACTGGTTTTATCCTCTTCTTCAGGTAGGAAGGGGTCCATCCTTGCTTGTTGTTAGTTGTTGAATATCTATGTTGAATATCTATGTGGAACCAGAGGACTGGAGATTCCTGGTGAGCTTCATCTCTCTGTCCTTATATTCCACCTTTGGGTCTGAGCTTCATGCACAGCCCCCAAAAGTCTGTTACCTGCTGGGACTCCCTGCAGATATCCTGATATCCCAGCACCTGGGCACCAGGCATCCAGACTCTGGCGCCTAAAGACCTTGGTTTTATGGCTGTGTCAGTTGCTGCACTAGCCCTTTCCACCTGTCCCTTTCGTGTGACTCAGTCTTATGATGCCTCCCCTGCAATCCTCCCTCCATCAGAACATATACATTTGAGCTTCCAGAAGAGCAAACAAAATACCAGGTAAAGAATTCAAATAAAATGGAAGCACTGATGTGAATAAAAATTCATGACTATGAGGAAATCAATTCCTGAAAAAGTCATTTCCAGGCTTTTGTTGTCTCAAGACCACCTCCAAATTTAAGTGAAAACTGAAAACAGTCCCAATTAAATCCTAGCCCTCAGGGCAATGACAAGGGAGCTAACAGGACGTTCAAGTGAGGGTGAGTTTTGGGAGGAAATTGTAAGGAAGAATTTCCATACAAATATGTTTTTATACAGATTCTCAATTCAAACTGAGAGTATTGTGGATATTTTCAGAAATTTTAACATTCATTTATTACAGATCATCTACACATCTCCAGCAAATATTATATATAAAATCTTGTTAAATATTCATTTGAAAACCATTTTGTTACTATTTAGTATCCTCCCTTTCAAAGTAAACAGATTGGAAGAAAAGTGAGAACTCAGTGTTCAAATCAGAAAAAAATTTTCAAAGACTGGTAGTTTTCACTCATGATATTTATGTACTGATGTTTCAGTCATGTCGTTATTTTCTAGGATCTTTAGTTTATGATATTTTATCAAACTTCCACAACTGGGAAATGCAATGGTTTTGTAAATTTTACTGCTATGAAATGTATCTCAAATATTGGACTTAAATAGTGGAATATAGAAGAAAGGAGATTGAACTAGGAATCAGAACACTTAAATATCCAACAAATCTGGACTCATGAGCATTGCAACTTCAAGACTATTTTAACCTCTGTATCTATTTCTTATATATAAGATGATGAAGTTGAACAAGCTGGGTGTGCTCTCTACAGAATGAATCCCACTATGCCATGGTTTAAACCTTGTCAGAATAAGGTGAACTCATAAAGCAAACAAGATACTTGCATAGGCGCAAGTGAGCAGGAAATGTTGCCCTGAAAGGGACAGGTTTGCTGAGAGAGAGGCCTGCATGCAGCCTTAGGAGAACAGCCTCTGCTGAGGGAGATCAGTGCAGAGAAGTCCCTTCATGGCACAGGTCCCGGGCAGGCAGGGGGCTGCTGCCCTGTGGAGGGAGAGAGTGAGTGGGAAGGAGCGTCTGCATAGGCACAGGTGGGCAGAAAACTGCTGCCCCAGGCCAGTGCAGAGACTTTGGACAGGCTCACTCCTTGGGAGTCTAGGTTTGTTGGCTTTGAATAAAATCTGAAAGGGACAGGAGATCCCACAATAGGCTCCATCTCTGTATCTTTATCTTTCATATTTTGGGTCTGTGATAGACACAGTGTACAGCAGTCTACTACCTGCTTGGATCTTCCCTCTGGAATCCAGGCTTTGGTGTCTGAGGATCTTGATTTCTACAGCTGTGTCAATGGCTGCACTCATCCCTTCTGCCCAGCCCCCTGTGTGCGTCAATCTTGTGATGCCTCCCTTCTGTTCTTTCCTCCTCTGCCATAATTTCAGGTTTTCAAGTCTAGTCTCCTAGCCAGAAATGGATCCGAGGCTGCAAGGCAGAGCTGAGTCCCAGCCATTGGACCACCATGGGTTGCTATCTTATGAAGCTGCAGCAGGAATGTCACTGATGGGCAAACAAGCAAAAAGAGGCAAATTTGTTTAGAAACAGGTATAAGAAAATAAGGAGAAAGAGGCCAGGGAGAGGCAAGGAAGCCTCAGTGGAGTGGTGCCTCAGGGAACATACATCTTCTTTCTCTAATTATTCTGAAGACCTGTCAGTTTGTGATTGGTTAGTTCGGTGGTCTCACTCGCTCTACCTTAAAGTCTCTGTGCCCAGAATTAAGTCTTGTGTCCCAGTCCATACCTTAGAATCCTTTTTCTTTATTGTCTTTATTTATTTATAGTTCTGGAAGGTTCTGTTGAACCTTCCTGGGGGTGTTTGATTGCCCCCCTCTTGTCATTGGGTACCCTCATCTCTGGAGGCTTCTTATTCCTCCCAGGCTTTTCTTATTCTGTTCTGACTCTAGAAGACATCTGCTTGCCTTATGAGTCAATGTTAACTAGTCATTCTGTAGCAAGCACACAGATATATGAGCAATATTTAGGCAAATGTAAGAAAGTGATAACATTACTAGATTCTTGTTCTGAAGCAAGCCGTTTGCAAAGCAGTTTTGCAGATGTCTTTGTTAATCTATACAGTATTAAACATGTTGGCATCATCACCTCTCCTTTGCACAAGAGAAACTGTAACAGGGTGGACCCAGGAAAAGGGGAGATTCCAGATTCTCTGCCCCACATTTGGTACCAAATCTGTTACAGTGCATGGAGAGAGGCACCACTGAACCCCCAAGCGGCCTGCTCTAAATAGGTTCTGTTCTGCTACATCAAGACAAGACATAAAAGCTTTAATTGAAAGGAAATTTAATACAATTAGTGTGCAATACAGAAAGACAAAGAATGTAGTTTCTAAATCAAACACCCAAAGTTACCCATTCCCTCGTGGGTAAAAGCCCACCCAAAAGGGGTTGGCCCAAAGCCTGAAAGCCCTCCACAAGTCTAAAGCATGTTCTAGTTCCCTTAGGGTCAGAAAACTTGTAAAAGGGAATTTTTGAATCTCAGGCTATTAAAACCTGGTGCTTGCCCATATTAAAGTTCTATTATCTCCCAAAAGGGGAGGGGGAACCAAACCAAAACAAATAAACTGTTTCCTTGGGTTCTATCTACTTGATTTCTATATGAAGATGTCAGAGGGAAGAAAGTGAAAAATTTCCTGTAACCAAAAGACAGTTTTCTTTATCAGAGAAGAAAACTATTTTCTATAAATGCATAGCACTATACTAAACAACACAATTAATATAAACCTGTCTTGAAATATTTGAGCAAATCCTCCTTAAGTGAAGTTTGTTTTTCTTTTTTTTCCTAAATATAAACTTGGGGATATGATAATGATGGTGGTTTTTGGCATCACCAAAGCCCCTTAAGCAAAGATAAGACATAATACCATAGAAGTCCAGCAATGAGTAAAATTATGTCATATTTATAGACCCAGTTAAACTATTTTGTTACATGTTTCGGGCATACAGCTCAAAATTAAGTTCATTACTACATGAAATGGAGAAAATAACTTTTGCCATGCAAGACTGTGAAAAGGAATGAACTAAACAATGTATGTAAAACATACCTTAAAATAAGACACAGAAACTAAAGCCATTATAAGTTTTCAAAATTTTGTTTTAGCAGTTAGTAAAAGAACTGTTATTTTTCTTTTCACCTGGTTTTGGGAATGATATATTAAGTTGAATTTATACTTTTTAAATCATACCATTACCATGACAGACTACACAGATACTAGGCTTCTAGCCTTCCTGTTGCTTTTTCTTTAAAATAGGACCATATTTCATTTGTTTTGGAATAATCATATTAATGCATATAATCATTTGAATTATATTACTTTCCTTTAATTTATAGATCAATTGACATATGAAGGAATGTAGCTATCACATTAAATATTATTTTCTTTGGAAAAAATACCTAAAATAATTTGAAAGTTTCTTTTTATCTTAAAAGATTTACCACAGGATGGTTTTCATAACAGATACCACCATGCCTAAGAAGTTTGTCCAGCAACTGGTTTTTTATTTGACACTGACTGAAATTGTTTTAAGTGGGAATGTGCTAATTTGGCCTACAGATGGTAGCCATTGGTTAAATATTAAGATCATTCTGGAAGAGTTAATTCAAAGAAATCACAACGTGACTGTACTGGCTTCATCAACAACACTATTCATCAAATCCAATCTGGATTTTCCTGTGAATTTTGAGGTGATACCCGTTTCCTACAATCAAAACAATATAGATGACTTGATTGAACATATGATAGCCCTGTGGATAAACCATAGGCCAACTCCTCTTACACTCTGGACATTCTACAAAGAGCTAGGAAAACTCCTAGATACTTTTTTCCAAATTAATATACAAATATGTGATGGAGTATTAAGCAACCCCAAGTTAATGGCAAGACTTCAGAGAGGTGATTTTGATGTGTTGGTAGCAGACCCAGTAACAATCTGTGGGGACCTGGTTGCTCTAAAGTTAGGAATCCCATTTATATATACATTGAGATTCTCTCCAGCCTCAACAGTGGAGAGAAACTGTGGGAAGATCCCAGCACCTGTCTCCTATGTACCTGCTGCCTTATCAGAACTCACTGACCAGATGACCTTTGGTGAAAGGGTTAAAAACATACTATCTTATCATCTGCAAGACTATATATTTCAGTCCTACTGGGGAGAATGGAATTCATACTACAGCAAAGTTATAGGTAAGTCTCTAAAACAGTTCCTTATTAATGACTCCAAATACCTTATCTATTTTTATTGTTAATACAACAAAAGGCTTCCATCCCGCTGCATAGACCAAGCAGAAGTAAATAGATGTACTGTATCTTCTTTCAAGTCTTTGATCATTATCTTTGGATAAGTTCCTAAAACACAGAGAGGCACTATTAATATGTATCTTACTGCCTAAGTGAAAATACTCTTGGTTCTATTTAGGAATAGTTTTTAATATGTAAATCGATCTTTAAATATGTATACTAAAGTACATTTAGAAGGATAAATTGTAACTGCCAAAAAAATAACCTGGCAAACATCAAAAAGTGATAACATGATTTATAGTCTCTCTTTTTTATTCTTTGTATGTAGAAAATTTTTAAAAGTCTAGGATTAGACTTTGGAAACCTGACTTTATACCTTTCCCTCTTATCTCATTATCTCTTCACTCAGGAGCCCCTGGGTGCTTCTAATTTAATTTCTCAGGTTTTTTTGTTTGTTTGTTTGTTTTTTGGTAAGCTTCAAGTTTCCTTTCGGTGTCCTTATAAGGATGAAAAAGGCAATATAAACTGATGTCGTCTTTTGGAGTTCGTGGTCTTTTGGTTCACTCTGGGAAAGGTTTCACCAGAGCTTCCCTTTCAGAGGCACACAGCGAATTCTCCACGACAGAAACTCAGTTATATTTAAAGAGTAAGTTTATTATAGACAGGGCAGGAAAAGGCACTTTCATAGGCACAAGAGGGCAGGAAGAGCTGCCCTGAAAATGACAGGTTTTCAGGGAGAGAGACCTGTGTGGTTGCAGGCAGACGGTCTTAGGAGAGCGGCCTCCACTGAAGGAGGTCAGTGCAGAGAAATCCAGGCTGTTACAGGTCATGGGCAGGCAAGAGGCTGCTGCCCTGCAGAGGTTGAGCGTGGGTGGAAAGAAGCAACTGCATAGTCACAGGTGGGCAGAGGAGTGGCTGCCCTGTGCTGGTGGAGAGACTGTCCTGATATAGACAGCTTCTCTTTGGGAGGGGCTCACTCCTTGTGAGCCTAGGTTTGCTGACTTTAGTAGAATCTGAGAGAACCAGAGATTCCCTAATGAGTTTCACTCCCTGTCCTTATCTTTTACCTTTTAGGTCTGAACTTCAGACACAGCCCCCAACAGTCTATTTCTGCTGGGACCTCCTGCAGACATGCTGACATCAGATTTTGGCACCTTGCTTTTATGGCTGTGTCAGTTACTTCACTAGCCCCTTCTTCCAGTCCCCTTTGTGCGACTCAATCTTGTGAAGCCTCCTATGCACTCCTCCCTCCATCATGAACCATTAAGATCAATGCTAATGGGTTGTTTATAGTACTTCTCTTTCTCACGATTTTCCTTAATTAATTTTTAAAAAATTTTTTCTATCTTGAGTGTTTTTGTGTCTAAATCAATCAGTAGTTCTATCTTATTAGGAATTAAAAGATGACACGACTAATGGTATTTTCTTACAAAGGCAACTTGAAAAAATATTGTCCTTTCACACATCTTTAGTCTTCCTACCTCTTTCTTTTCCTTTCTTGTAAGTTCCTTTTTTTGTGTGTAAAATTTGTACTTATTATTTGGGCCCTCCCTGATGGTGCAACAGGTTAAAGTACAGCACTAGGAACCTAGTTGCAGCCACTTGGCACAAGTTCCGATCCCCCTCCAGGGAGCTGATGCACATGGCGCAACAGACCTCTCCTGACCCGCCTGCTGCTCCCCTCAGCAGTGTACTTTGTCCATCTGCCTGTTCTGCTCCCCGCTCTGTCTCTGGTGAATCCTCCACCACCTCTACACCTCTGGTTTGTACCCCAGTTCTGTATGCATAAATAAATAAATCTTTTTTAAAAATTGTACGTATCCCCCAAAATCCAGTTTCTATCACCTGTTTGTTAAATAGATTAAAAATTCTACTGTATGAATTTTGGGGGAAGGGTGTGTGAGAGGATTCACCAGAAGCAAAGTGGGAGCAGAACAGTGGATTTTACTGAAATACACTGCTGAGGGGACCATTAGGCCAGACAGGAGCGGTCTGCTATGCAGTATGTGGGCCTGTTCCCGGGTTGGGGATCAAACTCAGGCTGAAATGATGACAGTGCTAAGACTTACTACCTAGGTCACCAGGCAGGCACCCCCATCACTTAAAGCTTTAAACAAACATATCACACAAATTAATAAAAAAAAACATGAAAGATCACTAAAATTTGGATGTGCTTTTGAAGAGATAGTAGTTAGAATTTTGAAAGTAAAATTCTGTTTTGATATACTTTACAATGCAACTTGAGCACATTTTCTTTTTGTCTGTACTTTGTATTCATTTGCCTTGAAAACAATTTTCTTTAACTTTAGATGCTGTTCACATGATTTTCCCAATGCATTTGAAATGTTTTCTATAATATCAATGCCCACCACAATCTATTTTTATCTTAAGTTTTTTCAGTACTTACAATAGTAAACATAAATACCTGAACATAATACTTGTTACCGAGTAGTTTAGGGATTAAATCAAACTGTAACAACCCCTATGACTAAAAATAGTCTTATTTGTGAAAGACAAACAGACCAGAAAAAACACACATCAAGAACAAAAAAAATGGTTAATTCTTAAGTTCTCAATTATGTGTCGTAGCAAAATGGTGGCTAATGAAAACCATATGAGTAATGAGTACTATAGATATTAAATGAGGTAACATTAAGTAGGGAATCATTAAAAATACCATTGTGAAGGGTCTTGGAAAGCACATGTTTTGGGTTCAAGTTTTACTTTCAAACTTGTGATCTCAGTATTTCCTCCTTTTTAAAGGGGGGGGGTAATTATTTCACTGTATTATTTAAAGAATGATCATATAATATCACATGTCAATTTGCTCTGCCAATTATAAATATATTCACGTTGGATATTATTTACAACAAAATGCACATAAACTCTGAAATGGTGAGGGCCTAGTTATTACAGTTGGGCCTATACCTATAGAGCATAGTTAATGAATATCACAAATGACCCCTGAAATGTATTAAACCATCCTTTGCAAAGGAAGCCATCTGAAATTATATAATGTGTAAAAAAGGCTTTGCAAAACAAATTTTCCAGACTTCTCATTTCCACAGGATAAAAATCTAGTTTCAGAACTACCACATTTTTGGAAATTAAATCTTATTTAATTAAATCCTTTCTATTCTTCATGCTACTAAGCATATTTTGGCAGCAAATTAAATCCAGTTTGTCTTTAGTTTTCTATTACATTCTAAAAGTATTAGTGACAGTGGTAACTGCAAACTAATACCTAGGGCAGGTACCTTATACATCATGTTATTATCTTTGAACACATATCAGATTTTTATGTAGTTTCCATTACAATGGCTCTTTAGTTCTGTGGGAAAAGTTGACTAGAAATATACATGTTTAAATGCAACAAAGAAAAACCCCACATGTCTATATTAAAGGAGACAGAAATAAGTAATAATGAAATACCTAAAAGTATATTTAAAAATTCCAGCACATTTAAAACTATCATTGAGGAGATCCTAAACCTTATGGATGTAGTCAATAAAAATTATCATCAGTTAAAATTGAAATATGCTGGCCCTCCCTGGTGGTGCAGTGGGTTCAAGCACAGCACTAAGAAGCTAAAGCCACATCAGCATGAGCTCAATTCCCAGCACGGGAGGTGATCCACATGGTGCAGCAGACCTCTCCTTACCAGCCCGCTGCTCCCCTCAGCAGTGTGCTTTGTCGGTCTGCCTGTTCTGCTCCCCACTCTGTCTCTGGTGAATCCTCTCATAGCCCCTGCGCCTCTGGCCTGTACCCCTGCTCTGTACGCAAAACTAAAATAAATCAAAGATTTATCCATTTATGCATACAAGAACTGGGGCGTTGACCAGAGATTGGGAGGTAGAGAGAGGATTCACCAGAGACAGATTTGGGAGCAGGACAGGCAGATGTCCTGAATGACACCTGACGGGTGAGGTCTGTTGCACCATGTAAGTTAACTCCCTGACTGGCTTGGATTGAACTCTCACTTCAGTGGCTGGCGATAGCTTGATAATGCTGTCTTTAACTCCTGAGCCACCAAAGAAATACCATTTGCAACTTTTTAATCTATAAAATGATTATTAAAAAATAAAGGTAGGCCTCCCTGGTGGCGCAGCGGGTTAAAGCACAGCACCAAGAAGCTTAAGCCACTTCCACATTAGTACGATCCCTGCCTGCCCCGGATCCCTGCCTGCCCCGGAGGTGACCACATGGCGAGGCAGACCTCTCCTGACCCGCCCGCTGCTCCCCTCAGTAGTGTACTTCGTTGATCTGCCTGTTCTGTTCCCCACTCTGTCTCTGGTGAAGCCTCTCGCCGCCCCTGAGCTCTGGCCTGTACCCCAGTTCTGTATGTGCAAATAAATAAATATTTTAAAAAATTTAAAAAATAAATAAAGGTAATTGGAAGATTTGAGTAAAAGAACACAAATATTAGACTTAGTTTTTCAGCCTTTTTTATTTTTTTAATGATTAAAAAAGTAATGGAGAGAGGATGCACCAAGTTGGCAAATCACCATCTAGATTAAGACAACTTAATCTATTCTCTGTTTCTATTAATCATTCAATAATATTTCCTATTCCAAGAGTTGTATTCAAATCTGTTCATTAGTTATTTGTACCGTTGTATCTAATTAACTATCTACTGAGTTTTTTATTTAATTTGTTGAATTATTAATTTCAAGAAATTCTCTTTGGGTCTTTAAAAAATTCCACAATTATTCTTTTTAATCTCTTTTTTCTAACTCACTTTGTAGGTTTCACTTTCATATATTTAAGCACATCATTAAAATACTTTTATATTTCATTTTAAATAATCCTTATATTTCAAATCATTGCATCAATATTTCTTTCACATATTGTCTTTGCTGGTTTTTAATCATGAAACCTTATTAATTTTTTACCTTAATATTTTGTCTATTGGTGTTTTTGAGGTGAGGGTCAAAGTTTCTTCAAAG